GCACCCCTCAGCCTTCACCCTCACTCTCTGGCCCAGAACAGGGCAGGAACCCAAGAAACTGACTCAACTCTCCCCAGCTGTTTGGTAAGAGTTACCTTCCTCCTCTCCACACCCACGTCGATCACAAAGCGGACCGAGCTGCTCCCGATCAGGGCCTCCCCGGGGCTGGCGGTCAGCACCACTCGCCGCTGAGGGGCTGGGCAGCTTCTCTCTGTCTCGTCGTTTGGCTTGAACAGCGCACACTTCTCTCTCGGGTACAAAGGCACCACCACCAGCTCGCCGTGGTCTGCGTCAGGGTGACAGCCTTCTCGACAGACGGTTTCGTAGGCTTTTTCAATATCCTAACGGGCAAAGGTGACAGCACCCATGAGAATGTGGCACATCACAGACAGCATCATCACTGAGAGTCCAATTAACACAACTGTAGGCAGAAGCCGCCGTGTCCATAGGAAGGAACCGTGTCTGTGGCACCATCAAGTGTAAAAAGGGGACGTGACGCCCTAGCTGGTTTGGCTTAGTGGATAGAGCATTGACCTCGGGACTCCGGGGTCCCGGGTTCGATTCCAGTCAAGGGCACAGGCCTGGGTTGCAGGCTTGATCCCCAGTGCGGGGCGTGCAGGAGGCAGCCGATCAATGATTCTCTTTCATCATTGATGTTTCTATCTCTCTCTCCCTCTCCCTTCCTCTCTGAGATCAATAAAAATATGTTAAAAAAAAAATTTAAAAAATTAAAAAAAAAAGAGGACGTGAGGGATGAGAAGGTTTCTTTGGGGAAGGTAATTTACAGTTTCATTGCTTTCAGTGCAAGATTGTTTTCCTCTGTGAAATATGCTATCTTTGCCCCTACGCAGTCATCCTATTTTTGTTTTTAAACTTCACCCGAGGATATTTTTCCATTGATTTTTTTTAGAGAGAGTGGAAGAGAGAAGGAAAGACAGAAATATCGATGTGAGAGAAGCACTTTGATTGGTTGCCTCCTGCACAGGGGCCTGGGGAGGAGCCTGCAACCAGGTATGTGCCCTTGACTGGAATTGAACCCGGGACCCTTTGGTCTGCAGGTCGATGCTCCATCTACTGAGCCCAACCGGCCAGGGCTCATCCTAATTTCCTAGCCTGATGCAGTTCTCATCTCCATTAGCAGTGGCAGCTAAACAAAAGTTATTCTCACGTCAGTGACGATGCATCACTGCTTTCCTGGCGGCAGAACCAGGAACCAGGAGTTACAGTCTCCAGACTCCCAATCACAGCGCACAAACACCCTACCATCAGGGCTCTCCCAGGTCATTCTGGAAATGATTCTCACCCCCTAGATTTCACAATAGCCATAGTTCTCTATTGGCTTCTAGTGGCTTAAACTTTCTGGCTGCAGGTGGGTTCTGATGGTGAGTTTGTTCCAAATGGGGCGGAAGGAAGAACAGAAGGACCTGCCCAAAGGGAACAAACAGCCAAGCAGGAGCAGGTGCTGCAGGTGGTCCAGACTCCATGCTCAGCTGGCACAGGGCTTTGCGGTCAGAACCTTCCGAATTTGAAAAATAGGCTTAAAATATGCATTTTGTGCTGTAGCTGGTTTGTTTAGTCATTTCTCTCTTCCTCAGTGCACAGTGCATTTACCTCTGTGGGGCTTTCCCAGAATTACCTGCAAAGCCACGGAACAAGAGCCACGCCCGCTGAAGGGAGCTGCCCGGCCCCCGGAGGAAACCCCGATGGAGCCCTTCCCGGGGAAACCTGAACAGCCTCTTGTGTAGCTCAGAGTTGCCCGGGAACCTGAGCGGACATTCCCAGAACCCCAGCCCATGCTCTCTGCTGACGTCACTATTCTGCGGGTTAGCGGACAGCCGGTGCCGAGGAGCTGCGTGCTGTCAACACGCAGGGCAGGGGGTGAGGTGCTCCCCCCCGAAAGGCTGGAGCACTCGGTCTAGAGTGGCACTTGGTGCGTTTCTGCCTGCGTCTGTTTTCCGTGGCATCTACTGTTACGGCAGATTTTAAGTTTCACCTAGAAACCAAGCAAGCTTCCAGGAGGACAGGGGACATGACTCCCGAGACCACAGGAGAGGAGTTCCCGACACAAGTGGTGGAAGAGGACAATCCCGTCAGGATGCTGATCTGTGTTCTTGCTCAAGAGCCAGGTGGCGGCGGGGACGCTGGGGCGAGGGGTGAGGCCGCCCTGCCCACTCGGTGCACCTCATGTCAGGCGCAGATGCAGATCTGCCTGCAGCCTTCACCCGACCGTCACCGTCAAGATGCTAAGGCTCCGCAGGACGGGCGGTTCCTCGGTAGGCCATGCTCGTGGTGTGATGTGAGGGGTGACCCAGCTCTCTGAGCCCTGGGGTTCTACCACTTCCACTGCCCGCTGGGTAAGCTGGCACCTGCTCGAGGCGGGCGAGCCCCAAGTCCCGAGGCCACTGGTGACAGCTCAGGTGGACTCGGGAGACCCACTTCCAGGAGCGCCCACTCGAGGAGACGTGGTCATAATAAGCCCTGACGTGGGTGAGGAGCTGTTACTGAGGAAGCTGTCACCACACACAGCGAGCTGTCAGACACTCTAGTCACCATGGACTTGAGATTCTGAGTCACTGTCCTCACGGGACAGACAGTCTCAGCTGAGAGAACTGGTGTCCCAGGCGGGACCAGCATCCTGGGCTCCACACGTCAGCGGAGGAAGCAGGTCTGGGAGCGCTTCTGGAAGCAGTGGCCGCGTGGGGAGCCCCGGCGGGAGCGGAGGTCTCTTCAGCGGTGGCTCAGCCTGTGAATCAGTTTCCTTCTGGGTCTCTGCTCAGTCACGGGGTCGCTACATCGTGGGCCAGTCTAAACCAGGGCTTTCGGAGTGAGAGGGCGGTAGGAGCAAGGCCCGGGAACCAGTCCCAGGATGGAAAGTCTCATTCTGGAAACTGAAGGCTTAGAGTCAGGGCCGCTGCAGTACAGACGGGTGTCCCCAGACGGCATGCGACTGAAAGCAGCGACAGGCTGTCACACGTTCCCAGTCGTTCTTTTCCAAAGACGTTTTGAAGAATCCAGGGTAAGATTCTTCTCCATCTTTTTGGACCAGGTGCCTGGCGTCAGGAGACAGCCCCTGGGCGGGCTGTATGTGATCCCTCCACCAACACCCACTGGCTAGTGTAGGAACGTTTGTGGGGCCTCGTTTGCTTGCTTGTTTATTGACCCCGTGCCACATACTTAGCTTATGTTCCTCATCGCATCTCCAACAAACGCTCCCGATGGTGGGGAGGCAGCGAGAGCATTCTGAGTCGGTGCGGCACCTCGCGAGGGCACCGGCTCTGCCCTCGGGCGCCTACATGGCCGAGCTGGGGAGGGAACCAGCTCCGGGATGTTCCGATGGATTGGGACGAGGCCTCACCCCGCTGCTTTCAGAGCAGCACCTGGTTGTGGAAACATTCCTTTTCCGCGTGGTCTTATTTACCTGTCTGCGTTTCTCCCAAAGTGCAAAAACTGAGGAACCAAATATTTAGCTCAGTAGCCAACTGAACCCTGTATGTTAGTCATTAAAGGCATCCCGTGAGGTTAAAAGGTTTCCAGGGCGGAACCGCGTTCCTCTGTTGGGTTAGATTCTGTTACTTACTTGTTCACAGGCCAGGAAGACGACAATGTCGCCCTTCTCGCCCGAGTGGTGAATTTCCAGGATGAGGCGCAAAACAGACTCCAGAGCCGCCTCCGGAGCCCCGCTGAGGTGCACCACCTCCACGGGGCGCCTGCTGGGCACCTCCACGAGCGGCACGTCGCCGTAGTGAGCGCTGAGTTTGCTGAGCAGCAGGGGCGGGGTGTTAATGACGAGCTTCAGCTCCGGCCTCGCCAGCAAGACGCCTTTGAGAAGGCCGAGCAGCACGTCGGTGGCAATGCTTCTCTCCTGGATGTCGTCCAGGACGATGACGCCGTAGCTGGCCAGGAAGGGGCTGGACATCATCTCCCGCTGCAGCATGTCATCAGTGCAGTACCTGCAGGAGGGACACGCAGCTAGCGTCCTCGCGCGAGGACTCGGACCCAACTCCCAGTACCACGAAATGCCGCGCCTGTGTCCCGCGCTATTACCAGGAGTCCTGAGCCTTTACTGGGCCGAGAGTCCTCACGTCGGAAAAATCTACAGGCCTTCACAACCGCAAAATGCACGTGAGCAAACTTTAAACCGTTTACAGACGGTCACAGGCCGCCAAGAGCATCTCTGGAGCCCAGGTAAAGGCTCTGCCCTCGGCGCTATGGCGCCCGGGTTCCCGTGGTCTCCACCCCGTGCCATCTCCCTCGCTGACTGCGGAGTGCGCTTTCACGCAGGAAATCTGAGCTGTGAGTCAACTACATGCTGAGCCCGGAGTCCTCCCGCCACGTCATCGAGCGGGGGGGTGGGTGGCCCGGGCCTGACAGTCTCAGCTGACCCCTTCCAAGAAAGAAAAGGACGTGAACACTTATTAATCCCCTCGTGGTGCCAGGCACTGTGTTGGTGTCTTTCTCATTTAACCTTCAGAATAAATCTCGAAGGTAGACATTACTAGCTCAAACTGGTAAGTGAGGAGACTTGGAAAAGTACAGTTTGGAAAACACGGAGCTAAACATCCATGATGAGGGCTGATGTCCAGTTCTGTAAACCATCCGGGTTTTCTGTTGACACTGCGGGAGGTCAGGGAAGCCTCCGTGGAGGCGGAGACCTGGCATGGACTAGGGGAACTAGCCAAGCCCGAAAAGGGCGGCTCAGCAGCAGAGGGTGGTGCGGATGACCAGGCCCCGTGTCTGGCCAGCACACGGCAGCCCATGCGGACCCACCCTGAGGCGGGGCCTGAGAAGACAAGACAGGTCTGGGGCCACCCAGCAAGTGACTTCCCTGAGAGTCTCGGGGGATTAGCCCAGGAATCCCGACGGGGCCGGGCGGGGACAGAGCCGTCGTGAACCCTGCGAGGCTTGGACCTTGACGCGGAATGCAGGGCACACGCTCCGGTGATTGTGAAACACAAGCCCAGTCGCCAGCTTAGCAGGCGGAACCCCACCCACCTCAGGATCGTCTCGCTGGTGCAGCAGTTCTCAAACGGGATCACGTAGCCGACCTCGTGGCCAATGTTGACATCCATTTCGTCCGCCACGCGCAGGGCAAGCTGGACGGTGGGCTGCTTGTGCGCCTGCGTGCACACCACGCCCCCGTGCTGGTAGTGGACGGAGAGGCAGTACTCGGCGCACCACTGTGGCACCTGCGGGCGAGAGCCAGCCGTCAGCGCCCCCCGCTCGCCAGGAAACCCACGGGGGCTCATCGTGTCAGTGGGGCCACCAGTGAGTCACCCTCTGAGTGAACAAACAGTCTGTGTTCACCCCAGAGTTCCCACTGGCAAAGAAATAAAGCAAGAAAGAATAGGAAGGCGTTAGGACTGTTAATGTTCGATTCCCAGATGAAAAAGGCAGGTAAAAATAAAAGGCAAAATTCATATATATTTTTAACCTCAGCTATATTTCTGAAAAACAAACAAAACACTAATCTATTTATGAATTACTATTTTCTTTCTGGCTACAGGAAACCTCCCTAAAAAACATGCCTTGCCATATCAACTATTGTGTTTTAAGCAAAGTAAACATTGCATAGCATTGAGATGAGAAATAGTGACTCAGAGTTAAAGCATTTATATTAAATGCTCAGAATAAAATAAACAGATGAGCCTGCTTAGCATTTCCCTGGTATTTAAAGGTAAATACGCTGCATTATCTCAAGTTCATTGGTGCAAGAATGATGGGAGTGGAAGGGCCGAGTCCACTGTGTGTTAGTCCCAAGACACTGCCAATGAGCTACGCTCTGCTACCCGTGTTTTTAAGCTAAATCATCCCAAGGTATTTAAGTTTTAATATTTAACTATCGATAATTTGATGTTTGCTAGGCCCATCATGGAATCCTTAGATTTTAATCCTCACTGTAATTTGAAAAAGACATAACTTTACCAGAAATCATAAGTAACTCCAAACGAATCAGCATGTACTCAACGCCGCTTGTGTTACAGAGGTGAGCACGTGACACACGGCGCAGGACACGGACCGAATCCAGGCAGGACAGTCACAACCAGCTGCAGGCCCCGTGAAAGCTCAGCCACAGCCGCGGATAGTTACCCAGGGACCCGCCCAGCGGGCGCCAGGGCTGCTGGCAGAGGGGAGAGCACATCCCCCTTCACTACCCTCCGCGGCCCGGAGGCCTGGGTCACGGGGGCCTGAGGAGGTGGGGGCCTCACAGCTCAAAGCTCGGCTCCCAACAGTGACTCAGCCATCGCTGGGGTGTGACCATCTGGGGTGTGACCGTCACCCGGGGCCCCTGGCTCCCTGCCTCAGTGAAGACCATGAGGGCCCTGCTGCGCCCCATTCTGAGCCCCGATTCTGTGCCTGCTCGGGGGCAACTTTCTCTGCCCCCACAGCACCTTCCTCCTCCCCCACAGTCTCTGGAAGGTGCCACTCGGTGAGAACCAGGAGGCTGGGAGGCCGAACCTTCCCGGGCAGACAAAACACCAAGGCCGCCCGCTTGGCTATGGTGACACAGCAACGTCGTGCCATTTGGTGATAAAAGCAGGTTACTGCTCCATCACATGGAAAACACCCTATTTACCAAGCGGTCTCCTTGGAGTTTTGGCAGCAGACACCCACATTTACACACACGCTAGGAACAGCTAGGAAGCACGGCTTCGGCTCTTCTGAGCGCACCCCATGGCTGTCCGCTTCCCAGCCCACGGCCTCATGCGTCTTCCCACTGGAATGTGAGGGGGTCACAGCCAGGGCAGTGAAGCCACCTCGCCACCTCGGGGTGCAAGGGAGGCTGACAGCGTGGGCGCCGTGAGGACCGGGTCCCGGCCCCCGCTCCCCTGAGAGCAATCACCAGGACTCGGCCCGCCAGTGCTTTAGTGGTGAGCGGTCTCTGATGACCAGGATCTAATCCGCATCAGGGCCTTATCGACGTCAGTGCCTGAGATTCTACAAGCTGCACCATCTCAGCCAGCAAAGTGAAGTGGCTCGACCTACCCCAGGCGACAGGCACGGTGCTGGGCTGCTGGATTGCGGAGGGTCGGACCCGGTCCTCAGGGTGGGCTCGGTCCAGACCAGAACCCAGCAGCAGCGGCCCCGGTGTCCTGTACGGCTCAGCGCTGCCCCCGGGGGACACGCACAGGAGGCCGCTCCCGTCCGATCTGCAGGTCCTCGCCTCGTCCATGGACCTCTGACCCCGGGACTGCGACATGTGCACTGCACTGGGCACCCCTGCGCCCAAAGCCACGCCTCCTCCCGCAAGTCTCCAGGACGCCCGCCGCCTCCCACCGGCCGCCTGGGGCTGTGCCAAGGCCCCTCACTCCCCACTCAGCACCAGTCACGGAGTCCACAGCTGGAGCAGCCTGAGGCCCCGGCCCCCCCCACAGACACGATCCCCCACAGCTTTACCAACAAGCCATCCAGGCATCCTGGCTGCTGGGCGTGCAGACCTGACAGTCACACCCCGAAGCCCGCAGGCAAACAGCATGCGTCTCAGCTTTAAAATCCACGCAGCTGAGGCCACGGACATGGACCTGCTCCTGCCATGACCAGCGGCACACCAATCCCACCAGCAACACTGCTGGTCCACTGGCATGGGGACGCACCAGGGAACTTAATTTCTGCTGCCTGGCTTTTTGGCTTACGTCACGTCATGATGCAAACGACAGCAGCCGACCCTGGGCCGTGTCGTCATGAAGACACGTGGGGGGCCCGGGCGGCGGGGCCACTCACCTGGGAGCTCTTCCCGCACTTGGCGTCTCCGGAAACGATCACCACCTGACTCTGGAGCAGGTTCTCCATGAAGGAGTACTTTTCCGTCCAGATGGGAAGGGCCTCTCTCTCGCGCAGGAGCTTGTAGTACCGGGAGGAGTACGGCAGCCCGTCGAACGGGTTCAGTTCCAGGTCCTCACAGGCCAGGAGGCCCTCCTCCTCGCCGTCGCTGGAATCCAGAGATTCGGGGAAATAGCGTTTTTCCGACGAGGAGTCTGGACATTCCAGCTCCTCTTCCTCCATCCTGTCGCAGGAACTCACGCGGCCGGCATCCCAGCCCGGTTTCTCCCAGGGCCTCTCGAGTCGCCGCTGCACCAGGGGGAGGGCTGACCCCCAGGACGGGTGCGGGCCTCGAGGTGTCCCTCCACCGGATCCGCGCTGGCTGCTCCCCGGTGCTGGCTCCCTCAGCACCGCGCTCAGTGCCGCCAGTAAACCTGGAAACACAGAAAAGGCGGGTCAGGTCCACACAGTGTCCCAAGGAAAGGCACCCGCTTTCCTGCGAGGGTAGCGGCTGCCTGTCACCTCCTCTGCCGGCTGAGCCAGAGGCTCAGGGCAGCTCTCAGCCTGTCCTGGGGGTTTGGAGAGAGACTCCCCCCTGGAGGGTGCTCCCTGCCTGACCCGGCGCGGCCCGGCTGGACTGACAGCGAATGGAGAGCCACGGGAGGGCGCTGAGGCTCGGTCACGGGGCCTAGGCCTTACCAAGCGGTGTGGACCCCGAGAAGGGAGATGGGGCGTCAGCTGAGCCCCCTCAGCACCAACCACGAGAAGGTCTGTTGTTATTCTTCTTTAAGTTAAGATTTCTTCTCGTTTAAGGAGACCGTTTTAAAACTCCACTGGGCATCTGCTTGTGCCAGTTTACAAGTCCAGGGAGGGAGTGGTGAGTCATCACTTTTCCCCGCGGAGGCCCGGCCAGCTTCCCCGCGAGGCCTCCGCTGTCGAATCCACCAGGAATCCCAGGCTTTGTGGGGGCTCCAGGGTCTTAGCCCAACACGTCAGATTCAAGAGGCAGCAAAAGACATCATGTCATTTAAACGAAGGAGAGACGTGTCTACGGAAGGACAGACCCCCCCCCCTCCGGCCCCCTCCCGCCCCATGGTGGCTCAGCCCCTGCGCCAGGTGGCTGCTCCCAGTGACCGGCGGGTTTAACAGGCAGCCCTATGGCCAGAAACAAGCCCCTTTCACCTTAACCAGGGAAACTAAAAAGAAAACACTCAAGTCAAAAGAACAAATCCTAAACTACGGTTCATGGCATTTGTTGCTTAAATGGCTTTATGGCGCCCCATGTATTGGCACCCCAGGTATTGGCGCTGTGGCTGTAGGTGGGTGGTTAGTGGCTGGAGGGCCAGCTCCCAGCCCTAAGGAATAAGGAGGAGGCTCCAGGTGCAGCCCTGTCAGCCATCGGACACGTGGGAGAGCCTCCGGGCCTGAGTGAGTGGACTGTCCCCCCCTCCCCCGCCCCCGGACACTTTGAGGGCCAGATAGAACATTCTATGCTTTGGAAGAAATACCATAAAACAGGAAATGTGTAGCTCTTTCATAGAAAGAAAGACATTTAAAAACTTTGAAACATATAGTTTAATCACCTACATAGAGTTAGTAAAATATTTATATGAAATTTTATCCCCTAGGCCTGTTATACTTCAGTTTTACTGTCATTGAAACAAAGGGCTTATCATTCCTGGGACTTTAAACTTGTAGGGGCTGCCTTTTTGTTTGTCTTTGTTTTAACTGGTTCAGAGCTTCCCAAAAGCATATTCTATTTAATTTCTAGTGTCTACTTAAAACTTTTCTTGAACAGGTAAAGTAAAAATTCAGAATTTTATTTTAAAAACCTTATTTCTAGACTTTAACAAGTTGACAATGTCTTGCTTTTAAGTAAGCAAATCAAATTAATTGGATTTAAAAAACAAAAAAATTCACTTTTAACTCAATATTGGTTCATACCATATGCAGCTTGAATAATCAATTACTTTTTTAAAGAATCCTAGATTCTATGATAATTTACAATTTTTAGACTTATGTACAGAAAGACTTCCCAAGCTCAACCAACGCGTGTGTATCATAACAACATACGGCGCCCTCCATGGAAGTTTATAAATCAAGCGTTTTATTAGAATTTCAAAAGACTGGGTCACACTCAGTGCTTTTCAATATGATTTTGATGGCTTTGAGTAATATTTTAAAAACTGCCATTTGAGTAAAAGCAGTTAATAAAGTGTGCGAGGTATTAATGTGGCTTATTCATACAGCCTAGCGAGATAGCTGAGCAAAGGGGTGAGTCCAATAGAAGCTCCAGCCACTCTGAGCTCCTGCGGAGGCTGGCCTCCGGGCCTTGGCCCAGGCCGCCCTCTGCCCAGGAAGCCCCCTGCCCGCCCACCTCCACGTGGCCATTCCTCGTCCCTTGAGTACCAACCCCAGCCCCCAGGTCACCCCTAACACAGTGCGGGTGCTCAGTAAAGGCTGACTTATGCCTGAGCCAGTTCCACCCGTTACACTGAAGTTCTTTAATGAACCACGTTCCCATCCATATCTTTACTCACATGCATTTATTTTGCTTCTCACGTGACCATCAGAAACCACTGCAGGTTTTCTTATCCCCAGTTAGCAATGAGGAACAGTAGCTCCCGACTTTCCCACGGTGGCAGAGCTAGCAATTAATCAAATCATCCCTGACCAAGGCGTGTCCTCTTTCCATCATTATCTTCCTTAAATGACCAGGTACAGCTGGGAACCCACCATGAGCGGGAAGGGTACGGAGAAGCCTAAATCATGGGCTTAGCTCCTACAGTGCTTAAGCGGAGGCACAGACCCACCCACAGAAAACGAGGGAGAACTCTACCAGAAAGTATAGGGCAGGGCTAAGGGCCGCACTGTGCCCGGGGAGGAGAGAGGTGCTTTCAGTGGGCATTCGCCTGATCCTGGAGGACTTCCCGGAAGGGTGGGCAGCATGGCCCTGCAGCCCATTACACTCGCCCCGAGTAAAGGGCGGAGAGGTGGGTACAAAGAAAACACAGCAAAAGTGACAATGTAATGGCTTTCAACATCTGACTGAACTCACGTGTTTCAGAAAGTAGCCAAGGAAGATAAATAGCACCCTCACTCGGGTAAAAAACAGAAAATAAAAATCCAACAACAAAAATGAAAACTTCTCCTACTTGTGATAGTAAGGCTCGGAAACAACACATTCACTTGTTTTTTGTTTTTTTTTAAGGAATTATCCGACTTGCCTTAAACAATGTTAATTTGCTGCTAGAGTTATCTTTACTCGGAGTCCGAGGCGGCCAAGGGAGTCAGAGGAGAAGAATGGCTGCATTGTGTCCCCTCCGCTCCCCTGGTGCCCCTGTGATAGGCTCTGGTTTGTTACATTTCCCTAAGCGTCAGCCAAGTCAGCAGTCAGGTAACTGTTCTGTCCAGCCAGGAGCTTAGGGACTTTTTAAAAAATCAAGACTTGCTATTCAAGTGACCACCAGTAACGCCCGGAAGGTGCCAGAGAAAAAGGAACAGGAAAGACAACAGAGAAAACCCGCAAAGGGAAAGCCAGTACCTTCCCATTCACCCCCCTGGGCCTCCAGCAGCCTTCGGAGCTCAGGCCAGTGCCGCCAATGACCAAGCATGGCCGTTGTCTGCGGCAGGTTCTCTGACACTCTTCCCATTCATTCGGCAGACATGTGCCGAGAACCACATTGTCCTGGGTGCCCAGGGAGAACCACAAACTGAACCTCGTCCCTGCCTCAGACCTTCGAGGGCCTCTCCACCCGCACCCCATTCCCGGCTCCCAGCCAGTCATTTCTTCTGGGGACACATCCCCTAAATTCCAATGTTGCTTTTCACAGTTGCCAAGGTCACCTGTTACCTAGACCAGTGGTCGGCAAACCCCGGCTCGCGAGCCACATGCGGCTCTTTGGCCCCTTGAGTGTGGCTCTTCCACAAAATGCCACGCGTGGGCGCGCACGTACAGTGCGATTGAAACTTCGTGGCCCATGCGCAGAAGTCGGTTTTCGGAAAGGAGACAGACGAAACAAGTATACAAGACGAGTGTGGATGGGAGAGTTGGAAGGGGTCGACCTCAGCGAATGTACCTCCATCAGATTGAGGACGTTTTTAGCAAAGGCCAGCTTAGGAGTACCCTAATTAAGTTAATAACAATGTACCTACCTGTATAGTTTAAGTTTAAAAAACTTGGCTCTCAAAAGAAATTTCAGTCGTTGTACTGTTGATATTTGGCTCTGTTGACTAATGAGTTTGCCAATCACTGACCTAGACTATTTCCACGCCATGTCAACCTCCAAGCTACGGAGCAAGTGTTGCCCACCACTGTGAAGGGCTTCCGGTCACAGCTCCTTCTCCCAACCTCAAACCTGCGGCCAGGCCACACCGCCCAGTGCTCGTTACTTTGGCCTGGAGATCTGCAACGTTGTATCTTTTTTCTTTGTCTTCTTTTTAAACGGGCACTTGCCTAATCAATCCTGTGCTGTTTGGGGAAATGTAGCCCTTTTTGGGTTACTGAATGCCAGGTTTTATCAGTAGCTGGTCATGTGTGATGACCATGTTACTAATGAGCATCACTGTTTCTGGGATGAAAAGACCAATTCATGATGTTGCTATTGGTTTGAAAACCTGCAAAGGCAAAGCCAGTACTTGGGATCTACTGTTGATCTCAGACACATTCCGTGTAAAAACGCACCATCCCGTCTTTACATTTCAGAAGCAGTTCCTGCTGCTTTAATGTTTTAGCGATGAGTGTGGATTCTGCGGACATCACATTGCCTGTCGGTACCAACACATGGAGCTTCTGCTGTGACAGTTCCTCTGGAAGGTCTGCATGGGTCCGAGGGGGAGCCCTTTGGGGAACG